TTRRTTRRMMTTCAAACCAGGCAACAGTTAATCCAACAACCAATAGTACAGTGTCACAAGATAGTGTTATCATTATCAATTCAACAAATCACTCAAATATTATTAAACCTGAAGTACCTGCATTAAATACTTTATCTACGACTACAAAAGTGCCACCAGCATTAACTATTCCAGCATCCAAAGTGTCCACTAGCAAAGCAGCTCCTGTATCTGTCTTAGTCAGAGTATCTGTTCCTCAAATTCCAACTGTAATCCCTGCCTCAATTGCCAATGCAAATATGCCAGTACCTTCAGCATTGCCAGTTCCTGGCCATTTAACAAGAACTGTAGCTCAATCATCTATGCCTATTTCAATTCCAACACCAGCAATTGTAACCAGTCCAATTACTAGTAATCCACCACAATATAGCAGTGCAAAACAGGTAGGAAGAGACACAAACAACTTTAAACTCTTGTCCTCCATCAATATGATGATACATGGAATAGTACTTGTTTGTTTTGGATTTATGCTGTGGTAACCAGCACCACAGGCTATTCCAAACTCTGAAATAACTAATCTGCACATCTTGTATTCTAATTWATTTTTAATTTMATTTTTTCAGAGATTAAAAGAACAGCTTCGCCAACACAACAATAACAATGCAATTCACCCAGAGAACATTATAAGCCAGGCCATGACTGAAGCTGTTGATATGGTCACTTCTGAAAATCATAATGGCGTTTCTACTGTTCCTCATGTACAAATTGCAAGGTAGAAACAATTAATATTTACCAATAAAGTGAAGATACAACTTCATCCCATGTACAAGTTTCCATACAGGCTGAGAGGTGRGGTCATGGGTTGGGGGCGTGGTCATGGGAGGGGTCTTGTCATGGGGAGGGAGAGGAGGGTAGTAGTCATGGAGATGACGTGGGTTGGCATGGGGAGGAGGGAGATCATGAGAGGAGAGTGGTCAAGGGGAGGAGGGAGGGTATTTGACGAATAATTGATCATGAATCATAAATGGTTTTCATGTCTTCAATGTATAATATTGCTCTACATCTGAAAAAAATATTTTGTAATAGAAATGGAGGGCATTGGCAGACTAGCGAGGATGATGCACAACCAAAAGACAAGTGAGTGTAGTTATAKGTCTATTGGCAAATAAAATAAGTGCATGCAGATCTCTACAAGGAAATCTGTAAAAAAGAATATGTATTGTCTATATTCATTTATTATGTTCTCTTGTCTTATTAATTAGTTCAACATGTTCTTACAAAGACTTAAATCATCTTACACTATTCTATTCTGATTTAATCATTAGAAAACGCCCACGACGTTCCCAAGAGGAGTTAGACCCAGATGAAAGACGGAGAAAATTTTTAGAAAGAAATAGAGCTGCAGCAACTCGATGCCGGGAAAAAAGAAAGATTTGGGTTCAGCAGCTTGAAAAGAAAGCTGATGACTTATCTGAGACTAATAGTCAACTTCAGGTAACTAAATTATACAGATGTAATGGCTCTGCTTTTYCAAACATCCTCAACCAGATTCAATGGTATTCTGTATCCAGTTCAGTCAGAAAGCAAGCAAAAACTAGACAGAACCTGTTGCATGCCATATTATGTTATCATGTGACAATGGAGGAGATCTGTGGATCTTTTTAATMTCAATTGCCTCATCTTGAAGATGAAATGTGATTTTAATTTCAGATAAATGGTTTTTCCATTATAATGTCAATAATGATTTTAATGACCTTTGTTTGCTTTACAGGGAGAAATCTCATTGCTCAAAACTGAAGTWGCTCAACTAAAATCCCTATTACTAGCACATAAAGACTGTCCTGTGACACTTGCCCAGCAAAAGATGGCATCACAGGGYCAACGAGAACAAGGTATGTGTAGGAATGTATTCATTGATAGATCAATGAATCAATTAGATTATAAGCAAGTTTGTTCACTGAGCTMTTATCCTAGAGTTTCAATTCTCTTGTTGCTGAATATTCTTTTAATTCATTTGTGTAGGATAAGTGTCTTATTGTTTATCCAATGTATACAATCATGTACACATGTATTAATTTATTAGCTTTGCCCCTAGTATGGGCAGGGACACCGCAACAGCGTGAGCCAATTACTGCGGACCCTGTACTCTCACACTCATGAGTACAAAGAGAACCATTTGAATATTGTTATAATGTGTTCTTCATACTAAATTGTACACTCATTCTGTTTGTAGGTCATGTCCAAGTAACAAATTCTGGTCATGTCCAGGTTACAGACACACCCAATGGACCGGCATTAACAATTTCTCACAGTGACGTCACAGCAGAGGATGTAGCTACTAGTGCACTCACTCAGATGGCTCAACGAGTTGTCATAGAAAACTATGCAGGTCAAGCTAGCAACTGGCCACAGACAGAATGATCASATGTTAGACATAAAATCACTATCATCGAACTATAAACACAGTTCTAAAACAGCAAAATACTCAAGAGTATCTCAAATACAAATATCAATGCTCTTCGTTGTATTCGGTTACTTATTCCAATACTTCATCTGTCTTGGTATACATTAGACAATAAAGCAATCATTGCCTCAAGAAGGCAAATGACTTTTATTCCTCAGTCCTCAGATTAAGCTGCGCTTTGTTCATGTACAATATACGTGTACAATACTGTTCATATTACATAGCTGTCCCAGAGACTTCTTTTTATTTAACAAAATCTATGGGTTTTTATACATAGTGTAAATTATACTACATTTAACCAATTCATAATTACCGAAATACTAGCAATAGTAAAGACATCATTTCTACATTTTATTGTAACCATGGTGATTTATTGTAGTATTCAGGTGTGTCCATCAAAAGTAAAATATACCATAGCAATGACAATGTGGTGGTTTGCTTTTACATCCATTCATCCATTCATGTATTAAAGACCTAGCTACGTGCATCCAATCACTTTTTGTACAGTTTTCTCACATACAAATATTCATCTTTGATTTTGAACAAATCAGAAATCACCTTAACAAGAGATCTTTTGCAAAACAAAAGGAATGATTTCTTGGATGCATGTGGGCCAGACTTCCTCAAATAAATCAGATGATGTACAGATARGTTTTTTAATAACAATTAAATCATAACAAACATTCAAAATGCTAAAAAAAAGTGTTTGTAAATTGATAAGTGTGTCAGACTTATCATTCATCGACATACTGTTGTTAGAGGATGAGCAGTTTTTCACATCACTGAGAAATAATTATAAATAATAATAATTCTGTACTATACTTTGTAATATATTCAAAACATTACAAAAAGACTAACACTAAGGGTTTGGAAATTTGGTCTAATGCATGGAATTGTAGCATCCTTTGTAATGAATTTATTCATGGCAGAAACTTTCAATAGATTTTCTATAGATTTCCCAATTTCCCTGCCTGATGGTCTCACTTTCAGTTTCTCCCCTGGAAAACGTCTCCTTTGGAGCCTACCCCTTTGTTGGTCCTACTTAGGCACAACAAAAGGCTGCAAAGGAGACTACAATATCTCATGAAAACTCCAATTTGTTCTTGGACTRAAAGTTATATCTACCAAGCAGCATTTTAAAACTTAAAATATCATGTCTCAATTTTAAAATATTTTATTTCAWTTAATTATTCATATTGAGTTGACYTCTCCAATAATGTTTACAGGTCTGTTTTTATATTTCTTGGAAATTTCTTGAGATATCTGTTACAATACAAAGCATGAGTCAGATCACATTTATTAATTTATTCTTTATTTAAATATACTATGCTGTGTTATTTATTCATTTTATACAGCCATTTTAYTGTTTATTCTGTAATTCAAAAATGTGACGAAGAAACAGATCTGATGTCAAGAAAAAGGCTATAAAAATATGTATTTGCGCAGTATTCAGATGAATTATCATCACAGTTGAGCTTGGCAATTTTTTAAAACTAGTTAAAAAACTAACAAACAATGTATTGAGCTTTACAGCAGCATCCACAAAAAAAACATTATGCTCTATGATATTTGCAAAATAATACAAATTAAAACAAATTGCTTCTTGATAAGTATTAAAACCAGCATGTTCTGGTCTTTCACACGGTAGGATTAGTTTTTGATATCAAAGGTTTAGTACTTTTTCCCAGTCCCTTTTTGAATTCAGAYAGGCCAGTTACAACCCTTTCCTACCAATCCTTATCCCTAAAGAAATTACCATATCTTTGCCCAATAACARTGGATAACTCCAAGATATGACAATGAACAATCAATCATTGTTCTTACCTGAGCCTGTAGTAGTTTTGTCTTACTACGGATAACTTCTAATTTAGGTTCCAAGTCTCTCTGAAGTTCAGCTGCTTCATTTCTCTTTTCCACCATGTTTTTACAGGATGTTTTTAGTTTCTCTGAAATTCTRAGTTTTTGTTGGAGTGAGTCAGCCAGTCTATCTACATACCTAGRATGAAGAAAGTGCAATAAAATGTATTGAATACAAATATTGCATTTAATTTTACAAAATAATTAATCCCATTGCATGATGAAGATGTCATTGCTTGTTTAATTTAGTGTTGCTTGATATATTAGAGACCTGTTACTGTTAGTACAAACAATATAATACTGTATCAATACCAACCTTGGTGAACTTTTAAGAAGACAAAGGTTTTGAACCCTCATTGAAGTTAARTGTGACAATATGTCATCAATGGTAYCGSCCATCTTTTCTACTGTTTCTCTTGATTGGATTTGAAGTATTCGAGGTGCAGATTGGAACTAGAATGATCCCAAAGTGATGTTAAGTTTTGTTTTAGTCAGATAAATTAATTACCTAACAAATCTTCATTAAATTTTACCTGATTAACAGCAACAACATCTGAATCCTTCTTGAGTTCATTTAGTCTTTGAGAGAGGAAAGCTTGCAACTGTTAAAAATGTGAATTCAAAGAGTTTTATATGTATTATTATACAATTTTGTATGACACTGTTATCAAGAATCAATTTAGTCTCACAACACTTACCTCCATCATTTCATCAAGAAACATGTTTCGTGTTTCAGTATTATCAAGAATTGATAAAGCATCATTTCCCTTTGCCACAGTTTCAACAGCTATACATATAAAAACAGAAAATATAATTGTCATTTTCAATCTTTCAGAAAATGAAAAAAAGCTGTAATAACATAAGAGGCTACAGTTTTACAAGCTTTGTTTACCTTCTCCAGATTCCTCCAGTGTTATCACAGGTGCTGATGGATCTTGTACATTAATTCCTGTATCACCCCAGTCTATCCCCCCAGAGTCACCACCATCATCTCCCCAGTCTATCCCCCCTGAGTCACCACTTTCAGCAACTGTTATTGAATCATTTCCACTATCACCCCACTCTATTCCTGCTGTATCACCACCACTATTTCCCCAATCTATCCCCCCTGAGTCACCACTTTCACCCACAGAAATTCCATTACTGTCTCCCCAGTCAATCTAAATGGGAGGAAAATCAGAAAATGAATTTTAATGAAATGGGGAAGCTGTGTATGACATATTGATATTGAGTATCAACCATATTAATTTTGCACCAACTTACCCCACCATCTGTAGCAGAATTTGTGTTTTCTTGTTCTGTGTTTGTTTTATTGGTCTCTATCTCCTGTAATAATCACACCAACATGATAAGTAACTAAAAACATTTTAAAAGTAGATTTAGATGCTATAGTTACACACTAGAAATAATGTTTTCAAAGGATCAAATGATCTTACAGTAGGTACTTGTCCAGTTCGCCATTGGTAAACTGTTGTATTTCCATTTGTTCTTAAGAATGACAATAGTGGCAGAATTTGACTGCTCCGATCAGTATCTGAAACTTCATAACTAGAGAAGGAAAAGAATAAGTACAAATATTAATAATTTCATGCAGTTTAGGCAAGTTGAATATTCAAAACAAGGACAGAGATGAATGGTTGGTATGGTTAGTTTGATGAACAGACAATGAAAAGGTGAATAAATTTATAATTCAAAGATGTATTTTATGATAAATACACAAACCTTTCAGAAACAAATTTAACAAATCCCTTGTAGTAGTCCAATATKTCTGTACACTTTTGTGTTGCTAGTGCTACATCACTGTATATATCAGGAAGTTCACCAAGCAGATCCATCAGTTCTTTTTTAATCATGTCACCCTGTCATTAATTTCATCATCAAAATGATTACTAATCATCATCAACATACCTACAGCATTTTCAGAAACCTTGATTATACTGAAGATAAGTGTATTCCAATTCTGAAATTCAATAGTAATTTCTTTACCTTGATTCCCATTTTATCACAGACTGCCTTATACTGGTCTCTAAACACTGATGCATTTGACGAGTATTCAGCTTCTTTCCTTGAACATTCCTGAAGGAATGAAAGATTGTTATTTCTAGAGATGAACAAGAACTACGATAATTATCTGTCAATTATTTTACATTTAAAAGGACATTACTTACTCTTTGTGTTTGCTGGCATTTTGCAATTTGTCGTTTTAAAGACGGGACTTCATAGTTGACATTTCGTATTAAAAGATGTGCTGCTTCAGCTGTTATTATAGAATAATTATTACAACAATGAGATTGAGGAGGATTAAATAGCTATCTAAGAAATTACAATTATGTCACATACCKAGACCAAGGTTATCTTTCTCATAAAGCTTCACAATTTCAAGCCAATCCTGAACATGAGACACATAATAAAAGTCAAGTAATAATTGGCCATAATTCTAATGAAAAGGCTGTTATATAAACTGAAACCATCATGTAAACAGATAAAGATGTTGATATGAATCACCTTCATTCGTTGCGAAGAATATCCACCAAATATATTTTTTGTAGATGACTCTGACACTTTCAGTAATTCCACAATTCGTAAACAGTGAAAATAGTTAATAACTGAAAAAAAAGGAATCATAATACAATGAGCAAAATAATATTAGAAAGAGGTCATTCATTTTTTGACAGCTAGCCTGAAACATATGACAGCAAACATCTTTTAGTAAACTTAGTTATTAGCCAACTTACAAGAGCCTGATAAGAGTTCTGTGATCTCATCAACCTGCGGCATATCTTGTATAGCAGAATTGATTTTCTCCCTTATTTCCAAGGTATCTTTTTGCCATTTTATATCACAGTGACGCCGGTCAATAAGCCAGTCTGCAATTAAAATAGTTTATCATGAAGTTTACATCTACGATATTAATCAGCAATGCTTTCGCATCAAGCTGATAAGTATAAAATAATATTAAATTACTTGAAAGTCTAATATTCTATCCAAGATCATACAACGTGCACACACACCAAAAGGGATTAATAAAAGTAATCAGACACATCTGATTTTAGAACAGATAACCCAAGTTGTCAAACTGACAACTAGGGAGGATCATAGTTAGTACTAAACTATGGGAGGATAGAACGTGGGTACCAACCAGCTGAGTCAAATTAAATATTTTAAGTAGTTTAAAATATAACCATGAAGTATAGTGACATGGTTGCTTATGAATGTGACGAGAACTAAACTTAAATCAGCACCAACCATAACAGGTCTCTTGTGTACCCCTTCCAGTTCTTAAAGTGAACATCGCCCTCCTCCCCCTTTTTTGAGAAAAAAATGAACCAKAAATTTAATTCTTCAAATATAAGTTTTAAAAATCTTAAAAATGGCTAAATTCGAACAAGACACTATTTTTTATTACAGTTATGTAAAAAGATAAATTTAACACCGTAAAAAAGTATGTGGAAAAACTTACTGACGTTTCGGATGTTAATCCTTCGTCGGAGTACTCCGACGAAGGATTAACATCCGAAACGTCAGTAAGTTTTTCCACATACTTTTTTACGGTGTTAAATTTATCTTTTTACATAACTGTTTCTTTAGAAACACCGACGCAGCTCACACTAGTTTACCGCTAGTTCCCACTATTTTTTATTAACCTTGGTAAGATTGTAAAGTACCATTTAACTTAAAAAGCTACTACTGCAATGTTGAAAGATGATGAAAAAGTCGACTTTCAAGGTACGTGTCCTTCGAAGACTGAACGAGGAATTTACGGTATTTTTCTTACCAAGTAATTTGTTGTAAGCAATATCTATAGGCAGAAGCTCCTCTTCCAGCTGTCCTTGTCCGTTTCTTTGCATGATTTTCGTCTTTAGTTTAAATAATATTGATTTAATCAATCATATTTTGGTTCGAATCAGGTGAATTTTGCTTTCAAAGAAGATTGCAACGCAGTCACGTTGTTCAGCGGCAAAAACCAAAACATACACAGGAAGCCCATGCAAAACCAAGATCAAGTACATTTTTCAGTACATGAGGAAATGTTGTACATTTTCAAAGGTCGCTTTCCATCATCAGTCAGAACAAAAATCAACAACGCTAATGATAAAATTAATGGTTGATGATAATTTCGTGTGCTTTTGAAATGAATTAAGAGTACAGAGAAATAATCATCACTATAAAAACTGACAAAACAGACAGCTAAAAATGGACAATGACAACAATCAAAATTAAAAGGAAACATAGCGACAAACAAATATCCCACTAATATAAATATTTACTAGTATTGAGCACTATTTCCAAACAGCAACAGTAACTATAGCAACGAGCCACCTGCTGAAGCACCAGTGATAGTGGTTTCTAGTTTGAGACTTGTTAGACGGCCTTGCACGATCCACGCAGTCGAAAACACACATTCTTCCTACAAAAAAATACAATAACATTATTTTATGTTTTCTGTGTTTTTCAAATCAACTGAAAACGTTCGGGTGCATTTCAAGGGATTCAGGAGCTAGAGGTGAGGTAAGATGTTGAATGTTATTGCGGCAAGTGGCTTTAATATTACTGTAAGTCCTACTAGAAGTGAATTGTTTTGACGTTTATATTGCAAAAGAAAACTTTTCTTTTTTTAAGCTGTAAAGCAGACTTTTTGAAAACTCTATAGGCTTAGCATATCTTAATCGTAGATAATGGCTCATCGCGTGCTGTGACACCATGTCTTTCATTGGCACTTCCAATGCGCGTTTTCTTTAGTAAAAAGCTAATAATATTGCTGATCTCAATGTTATTTATGATGATCAAATCAGTTTTTCAAGTAAAAAAGAAATTTTTATTACCAGCCTTTAGTTTCAAGTCCCATGAAGTCTGAGAAACACGGTTTAGTGAAACTCACGCGCATAGATGCGGCTAATGAATAGGCAAGACTCCAAGTTATTCCAGGGCTTGACAAGTTATCATTTCAATTGACGAAGAGAATTAAAGAAAAAGAAAATATCGTTTCCGGCTTGTCTCCACTCTTTTATAAAGGATAGTCGTAAAAGTCAATTTTATCTTTTCAATCGATAAGCAATTATGCAAAAAGTATAAAGTTTCTAACAAAACCAACATTACATCACAATTATATTATTGACTATGATTATATTCCAGCCATAGTCAAATRCAAGTAGCATTTATCATGATTTTATCTCAAAATTTTACTTAAGAATCATTACTTTGTAAAACCGAAATTGTTTGTTATGTGAAGTGGGTTTCATTTACTGAGAATTGAAAGTTTAATCATTTTCCTTTTCCATCGATGACTCATTTCCTTATAGTGATCTTTTGAATATAAGGTAAGATAGGGCTAGAATGTTTAAATACAAACGGCCATCTTTTTGGTTATTTCCAACTGTTTTATTAGCAATTATAAAGCACAATGATCCTTTATTGCATTTTGCTCTCAGTAAAGGGCGGTTTATTGCCGTTCAGTGTAAGAAATGCTCTTCATATTAAATGAACACCCCTTAAGGCAAAAACAAAAAAACATAATCTTCCAAATCTTTGCTTAATTTCGCTGAGTTTGAAAGTGATGGTCCTTGTTTTATACCCCATTCACTTCCGTTTTTACGATGCGCATTGGACAAGTAACGCACGCTGATTGGCTAAAAGAATAAAGATTGACACTGATTGATAATCTGAAGATTTAGTGTGCGATAAGTTGGAAGTGACAAGGCTGCGAAGCAAGTTTTCTGAGTTGTCGTTTCCTCGTGAAATAAATCTAATGTAAGACGAAAATAGCAACGATCTGTACGCGCTAAGGGTGACCGACATGTTGAATGTTTCTAGTGTCTTCCACTAATTATATAGGCTTTTGAAAATAGGGACAATTTTTTTTCTTGGTTTCGCATAAAATTTCAAGATTTCGCTAAAGAAAACACTGGCGAACGTTGTTGATCACACTGAACTTCTTTTCTTGATGACCAATGAAGGCTATTGTCATAATGAATGAACGAAAGAATAAATGAATGAATCAATGAGAAAGTGAAAGAACGATAAATGGCAATAGATCATAGTCTGACAATATTACAAGTGTACTTCCCTTCGTTAAACGTTTCTGTCTTATTAAAATCAATATCAAGACTGACAATACGAAATGAAATACTGACAAATACCAAGATATACAAACACTGACCAATTAACCAAAACGGAACATATGGTAGTCGAAACAAGTGAGTTAAATCGAGATCGAAAATTCCAAGTTCAGCACTTTATTTTTCGGTTTCTAAATTCAGCATATTCTGTAACAAAATAACAAAACACCTGGGCATATTTGGGTTAGTAAGCCTTTCGTCATTCACAAATTTTGTTCTCAAAAATACGTAGAACGTTCTGGACGTGGTTCGTACAGCTGATCTGATCACCAACTGTGTTCTCTTGTTCATTGCTTTTAATTATTTATGCGAAACGTCGATTTTTAACTCTTCATTCTCGAAATTCATTCACCAGGAATATTAAATGTGCAGGGAATAGAAAGAAATGGTTGGGGCCAACAAAACGTGAAACTTGTGAAGTGTTATATTTTGAGCAGATGAAGGAGAAACGTTGTAGCAGTATAAAGCATACAAAGTATCAAGTAAAACAAGCTGTGACAAAGGATCATACAACATATACGGATATGGAATCACAAAACAAGCCAAGAAACTCTAAACAAAGACTAACGATACCACCATCTTCAATGAGTAAAGCTTTGAACAAGAGACAAAATACGATTTGTAGCATGCAATTTGCAATCATGGCAACCAGTTGTTTTCTCAGTTATTTAAGCTACAACATTACGCTCTTGAGAAGACGTCCTCTAAAATGGAGTGGTGTTTATACGATGTTTTATAAGGGATTCATTTTAACATGCGCAGTAAGCGTTATAGAAGCACAAAGCTCGAGTGTACAGTCAAGTAGTGTCATTGGTCCTTCTAACACTACAAATACAGTCATATTGACAARGTCCACTCCTTTCATACAAAACATGACATCGCTTCATATAACGCCTTCGAGCATAATGCACAGCGTCAATACAAGTGTAAATCCAAGCCCGACGCTGAYTCAATCATCGAGTCTTACGTCGAGCAGTGACGTTAATTTGACGKCTTCGAGAAGTGTGGTAAATATGACGTCAATTTATAACGTCATGACTTCGCCTTCTGTGAATACAATAATGACGTCATCTGTTGAAACATCGCATTCTACAAGTCTATCGACGAGTTCGTCAGCATACCACGTGAACGGGACATCAGTCATTGACGTGGTGTCATCAGCATCATACAGTGTGTCATCATCTACTGCTATGATACAAGAAAATCGATCAACAACAATGGTGAATGCATCTACAGTTGTTTCCGAACCAGATCCAACATCAGTGACGACGMTAGCCATCAACTCTTCGACACCAGCAATGGCTGATTCAACGGTAACAGACATCCATGGTATAAACATGACATCTACTTCCGTGGTTTTAAGTACTTTAACGACAACACCCATCATTGCATCATTTGTAAACGAAACAATGTCGGTAACACCAGTCCACTTAACATCAAGTGTTTATCRGACTGCGACAACGGCYTTTGTTACTGCTACYACATCAATGACTTACAATAATGCTTCTTCTYAAACGATAAAAATGAACATAAGCACTCCCAGCTCGACGATATTAAATCAAGTATCATCGAGTTACGTAAATACCTCTTCTGTCATTGTACGAATGAATGCGACCACGCCAACTTCGACTATGAGCGGTGTATCAACGAGCTACATCAATGCTTCATCTGCCACGGTCCAAATGAACGCATCTACGCCCAGTTCAACGATTTTAAGTGTTGTATCCACGAGCTACACAAATGCTTCATCTGTCACTGCAAAAATTAACGCGACCGCGCCCACTTGGACAATGTCGAGTGTCGTATCCACGAGTTATACCAATGCATCCTCTGTCACTGCAAAAATCAACG